GGCTGGCGGTTCAAACCCACCAGCCACTCCTTGGAAGGAAGATGGGGCAATCTACTTCTGTAGTGATACTACCTTGAAAACCCAAGGAGGGGTCACTATGAGTCAGGTCTGACTTGACGGCACATAACAACAACAACAACAACATGACCCTATACACAGAAAACCCAAGAGACTCAACAAGAAAATTACTAGAACTTATTGAAAGTTTAGTATAGTGGCAGGATACAAGATCAACATACAAAAATCAGTTGGGTTTCTCTACACCAGCAAAAAGATCTTGAAAAGGAAATAATGAAATCAATACTATTTACAATAGCTACCAAAAAGACAAAATACTTAGGAATAAAGCTTTCTTGGAATACGAAAGACCTATACAAAGAAAATACCTATACAAATAAATTTTTAGCATTGGTAGTTCAATGGTAGAATTGTCACCTGCCACATGGGAGGCCTGAGTTCATTTCCCAGCAATGCAGTGTGCCCTTAAGGAGCTCTGGTAGCATAGTACCTAAGGCATCTGACTGCTAAGCAGAAGGTTGGTGGTTCAAGCCCACTAGCCACTCTGTGGAAGGAAGATTGGGCAATTTACTTCTATAATGATTTACTGCCTTGGAAACCCAGTGGGGGTCACTATGAGTCAAAATCAACTTGATGGCAGTGAGTATATAAAGAAAATCACAAAACACTTCTTCAAGAAAGTATAAGAGATCTATATAGAAGGAAGAACATACATACTCATGGATAGGAAGACTGAACACTGTGAAATCAATACTACCCAAAGCAATCTATATATTCAATGCAATCCTGATCCAGATTCCATCATCATTCTTTAAAAACATGGAAAAACCAATTACTAATTTTATATGGAAAGGAAAGAGACCTTGGATAAGCAAAGTAGTATTGAAGAAGAACAAAGTCAGAGGTCTCACAGTCCCAGACCTCAAAACCTTCTATACAGCCACAGTTGTCAAAACAGCCCGGTATTGGTACAATGACAGACACATAGACCAGTGGAACAGAATTGAGAACTCAGACATAGATCCAACCATCTATGATCAGCTGATCTTTGACAAAGGGCCAAAATCCATTAAATGGGGAAGAGATTGTCTGTTTCACAAATGGTGCTGGCGAAACTGGATATCCATTTGCAGAAAAATGAAACAAGATTCATACCTCACACCATACACAAAAACGAACACCAGATGGGTCAAAGACATAAATGTGAAACCTGAAACTATAGAGTTCCTCAAGGAAAAACTAGGGGCAAAGTTAGGGGCCCTAATTTGCAGCATAAATAGACTCTCAAGCATATCCCAAAATGTACAAACAGCGGAAGATAAACTAGATGAGTAGGACCTTCTAAAAATTAAATTCTTATGTACATCAAAAGACTTCTCCAAAAGAGTAAAAAGAGAACCTACAGAATTGGAAAAAAAAAATTCAGCAATGATGTACTGGACAAAGGACTTATCTCTAAAATTTATAGAAAACTCCAATACCTCAACATCAAAAAGACAAACAATCCAATTAAAAAAAATGGGCAAAAGACATGAACAGACACTTCACCAAAGAAGATATTCAGGCAGCCAACAAACACATGAAGAAATGTTCACAGTAATTAGCCATTAGGGAAATTCAAATCTAAACAATCATGAGACACATCTCACTCCAGCATTAATAGCAAAGTTCAACCAGACAGAAAATATCAAATGCTGGTGAGGATGCAGAGAGATTGAGACTCTCATACACTGATGGTGAGACTGTAAAATGATACAACCATTGTGGAAATCAGTATGGTGATTCCTTAAAAAGTTTGACCCAGCAATCCCATTACTAGGTATGTATCCTAAAGAAGTGAGAGGTAGCACACAGATAGATATATGCACTATGCACAATAGCAAAGAGATGGAAACAACCTAAGTGTCTATCAACTGACAAATGGATAAACACAATGGAATATTATGCAACTCTAAAGAATAATGTAGAATCTGCAAAACAATATGTAACATGGATGAACTTGGAGAACATTAGCTGAGTGAAATAAGTCAATCACAGAAGGACAAATATTGTATTAGTCCACTATTGTAAAAAGTCAACAAAAGTTTACACTAGAAGGAAATTTTCTTTGTTAGCTACCAGGGATGGAACGGGAGAGGAGGGAAATTTTCTAGATAGGCTGGAAAAAAGAAATAGAGACAGAGAGAGAGAAATCAAAGATTATTAATGGCTATCAGAGGTAAGAAAGAGGGGCAAAGGGGAAACTTTTGTTTGGGAGCATTGAGTTAATGTTAATACGTGGTGGAATATTTTAGAAAAGTATAATAATGATGGCACAACATGAAAAATATGATCAATGTCCCTGAGCTGCAAATGTGGAAGTTATATTGGTGAATGTCTTCTTGTGTATGTCTTCACCACAATAAAAGTTAAGACAAAACATGAAACTATTCAGGAAAAAGGCATTGGGCTGCACTGGGCTCCTGACTGTGTGGATGAAAGGAGGGGGTGAAT